CTGCATAAGTCATTACGTGTTTCAACGTAGTTGAAGCTTTTCTATATTGGTTAATAAGTCATCACCACTGTATAGATTGGAACGACGGGTTTGTTCCTGTGTCCCGTTTCGATGAAATCGTTTGTTATTTGTGTCGTTCGACAAATGTAGCGTACGTAAAAAGACGTAAGAAAGCTACATTTTTAAGAAGAATTTTAACAATTCCGATAAAAGAATTGCCCGAAAATGAATGCAAATTGGAGGTTGGCACGCCAATGTATCCCTATCATAAGAAGACCAAAATGTGCTCCTTGTCGAATGTTTTTTATTTATTTTCATACGTATTCAAAAATCTGTAGCTATATCTAAAGGAATTTGCGGTTTGGTTTAAATTACCGTTGAAGTATAGACTCCCAGGCTGGGATCCTCCATCCAATATCTATTGGGTCTCTCTTCATTGATACATCTACCTGGCTAAGCTACCAACCTCTTTCCCTCCAAGTCTTCCTCCGCTATAAAATGAATATACGTATGCATAAACATAATTTTAAAATTAATTAAATTATTATGGGGCTTTTTTATTGTCAAATATTCGTTTCAAAATCCTATTATGGATATTATGGCTTCCATTTTGCTAGAGACATCTTGTTTGTAATGTTCTTGTAGTTCTGTATCCTTCTCTTACCTCCATTTGCTTCTACAGTATGTCCACGGAAAAGGTGTTGAATAGGAAAAACCTTTTTATTTTTAATTTTATCGAAAAAAGTTAATGTTGATAAAAAGTTTTGTTTTAGTTCTTAGCGGTGTTCAGAAAATTGAAAAAGCTTTAAATGATACAAGAGTAAAGTGCATTTATTTGAGAAAATAAGGAAATAAGTTACTAGGAAAAAAAATTATTCAAAACGGTAAGACAAAGTCGGTAAATATACTGAGAGGACTCTAGATTGCATGAAGAAGTTTTACCATGATCTGGAAAAATGTAAAATCATTACCAAATGCCAGGAACTTTCCTGAGTTTCAAGAAGATATCAGAAATTGAACTGAATTGATGCCATGCTCTAAACAAAAGTCTGGAATTGCTCTGGTTAGACTTCAAAACGTTCTTGAAGAGTACAAAACACTTCCCCATAAAATGATGTGGTACTTGATATTTGAAGATCCCGACTGCATGTAAGCAACATTTCCATTATATTTATCTTTAGTTATAATACTGGAAAAACATAAATCTATTACCAAATGTCGGGAACTATTCTGGACGAGTCTAAATTTCAAGAAAATATCAGAGATCGCACTAAAATGATGCCATGCTATAAACAAAAGTCTGGAATTGCTCTGGTTAAACTCCAAAACGTTCTTAAAGAGTGCAAAACTCTTCCACATATGTGTATTGCTTCATCGTCGACTTCCAAAACATGATTAAAATCTGGCTTGTATGGATGTATCTTGTTGTGTTTTAATATCTTCTGAATTTGCGACTTTTTAACAAATTGGAGATTTTCAGCTCTTCTTCTTAATGATAATTTCGGTTGTTCCTCTACTGAATGTAATACCAACAAAGTGCTTGCAT